GTGATGGGGGGTAACGAGTTGATCTTTCTTTTTTTTTTGGTTTTAGGTCAGCACTTATGATGACTATAAAGTTGATTTTTGCTTCTTATCTTCTATTATTTTAAGTGATTGAATCTAGAAAGCACCAATGTATCATAACGGAAGAAAAATACCAACTTGCCCAAGTATATACAGTATGTCTTTTACACATATTTATTAATTTTCTTGTTTATTTCTACATTTTCTTAAGAAGAGTTAAGGTCAGAGGGCACTGATTTTTCTTCTTCCTTTTTTTTTTGTATTTTTGCATCAAACCAAAATTATGAGAATTAATTGGAATATCACCAAAATGAAGTTTCTAACAGTAATATTTTAGTATTACATGCCACTTCTGGGTATAATTGTATTAAATATGTTTGTTGAAACATATTATCAGACGACAAAATTTATTAGCAAGACTGACCAATGATATGAAATTGTAAAATTGTACCAATAATGGTTGTCGATAACTTAGATAACTTATTGAAATATCAAATATATGATTTGTTGTTATAAACTTTTAAAATGACAAAAATATTTTTTAAAGTTTAGAAATTTAAAAGTAGTAGGTCAGTAGGTCAAAAAAACATTTTAATAGGGATCGTAATATAATCTAAATCAGTAGGTCAAAAAACACATTATATATTTTGTGTCTTTTGTTTTGAAAAAAAAAACATACGATAGTAGATGGACAAATACAACGAAACAAAAACTGAATAGCGAATTTAGAAAGTATAATTTTTTCACATTTCAAATAACCAACGTAAATTATATATAATTTTGTAAATTAATTTGATTACTTCCGATTATGTTAGAAAACACACTTGTGCTATTTATGCGGATTACTATTCAGAGCTTAAATGATGAAAGAACTTGTGGTGGTACTGTGCTGCAATTTGTGTACTGTACACATTAAAAAGGACAAAAAAAATCATTGTCTACATGGCAAATTACTAAAATAGAAGTATATAACTTTTGCAGCTGTGTACATGGGTCACCTTTTTGGCGCCTGCATATGATAGATCATTTCGATAATGATTAGATGCTAAAATCCTCTTTCTATTTTCAGTTTATTTTATTGTTTGAAGATATCATTTTAAATTGGAATCACATAAGTATGTACACAGAAATAAACCATTTTGGAACCGCATAAACGATTTAAAATAAAAATATATGATGAGAGCATTAATATATATATATATATTTTTTTTTTGATCTTAGGTGAATCTAGAATAAATAAGCATACAAGTTAGGATACTAGGTTCACAATATCATATTAATTATTGCATAGGGGCGTGTGTATAAGCACATGTCGTCGATTTGTTTGTTTTTGGCCTGGAAAAGTGGTATGAAGTCTTGGTAGACACTAAAGAGCTGACCGGGAAGACTCTAAGAGTCAAGTGGTGTGAAGTTGGCCGACGGACTGACTACTATGAATATGGTACACTGAATGTGCCAAGTGGGCACCTTTGTACCATAGATATGTGCGTGGTGTGGAAAGTACTATGAATGTGTCAGGTGGACATCTTTGTACTACGATTATATGGGAACAGTGAAAGTGTCACGTGGAGACCTTAGTTGCCCGAGAAATTGATGTGTGGCTTCGGCCTGTGTGATGGTCAAGTTGAGCAGAGGCTTTATGCCTATTGTTTTTGTGGTGTTGAAAGCTAAGAGTTAGCTTGTGGGCTTGCTTAGTTACTTATTGTAGTGTGAGTTTTGCCACATGGTGCTAAGCCATCATATAGCATCATATGGTGGTAAAGGTCTTTAAGGGTAGTTAGGTTGTGTTAGGTCGTGAAACGGAGTAGACCGTTTTAGTGAGTATTCAATACTCACCATTTTACCAGGCTTGTAGGATAGGAGATAAGGTCAGGTGGACCATAGAAGGGCAAGGTAGGAAAAAACGGCAGGCACGATGAAAACTTTCCCAAAGCGTGGTAGTATTGTGTTCCATATGTTGTATTTCATTGAACAATGTATTAAAGAAATTTTATAGCAGCAAAATACATAAATTTGACTAACACTTGGGCAAAGATTCATAGTTCTTGAACAGGGTGTTACAAGTTATCTACTCCATATTAACAAAAATATGATGAAAGCTTTAAAAAAAATAAGATGAAAGCATTAACATCATTTGAAAAAC